CTCTGGCGCATTTTTACATTGTTTCTTTGGTAAAACTAACACTGTGTAATATGCTGATAATATGACTCTCCTTAATACTATCATATACTCAGCAATTATCATAAGAAAGTATGACCCAAACTTTGGGTGTATAGAAGTTTCTGATTAATGTTTTTCAATTATTTCAATTAGATGCAGCGATGGTAGAAACCATCTAGGACAATTTTATTTATAAAGGGAAATTTTGTTTAAAAGGAGGCAGATTTTCTCATGTTCACCATCAGGAAAAAAATATCTCTAATAAGGAGCAGGCATTTATTTTCAAAGAATGAATTAAATTTAAAAATGGCTGTCACATTATTACCTCAATTCTTTTTTCTAAAAACACAAAAATCTCTTCCATAAATGCTTTCACTTACCTCATAATATAAAGGTGCACTACCGCCTACAGATTTTTTTGCCTTTTTAGACGAGGCAGATCCAAGTGTATTTATTTCATTAATCTGTAAGAAAATTATAATAAAAAAGCCTTATTTGAAGAACACTTAGATATATGTAACTTTCAAATATCTAGGTGACCTGAGGGGTTAGGGAACCTAGCAAGCAAGAGGTACGCATGAATTAGGTAAAATATTTATAGTCACTTTGGTAAGTTGTCAGTAATTGTATGGGTATGTGCCATCTGGCAGGCCTTTTCTATATTATTGCTCTCCTCTGACCTCTGACAGCTATGATTCTCTGTAGCCTTCATTTCCCAATTAGTCGTGTACCTCCCTGGAGTCTTAAATAGTCTAGTATTTTATAATTATTTAACTTTTATTAAATATTTGCTCACAGAACCTAGCATGGTGCCTGGTATGACCTCAGAAATCTTTGTCAAAGAAACGCACTTCGAATGAACAAAATTAATGAACAAAAATAAATTCTTTCAGATTGAAAAACTCAAATTTATTCTAGCTAGTTACTTAAAATAATCCATCAAAATCTATAAAACAGCCTAAAACTATGATAGTTTATTTTAAATTCTATTCTATTACTTTAAGTAAAAAAGTCTTCAGGGGGCTTTGAGGTAGGAATGGACAGGTACCTGCTGGAGAATGTCTTGCCACGATACCATACTGAAGAGTTTACGCTGAGGGACCTGGACAGCCAGGGTAAGGGCTTGGATGAGAAGATCATCTTGAATCTGATTCCCAACCACAAAAGCAATGGAGGCCTTCCAATCGTTCTATTAAAAATCAGACAGAATTAGATTTAAAATATTCCTGAAGATGTCATTTTGTGTCAAACGTTTCCACTGAGAAACAGAATAATCTTCCTGTAAACTTGACTCAAGACGGAGGTGACCTTGTAATGTATGTGATTCTCTGACTGAAGTAGTCGCAAGGCGGCAGTATTGTGCCAAGTTTCACGCAACTTGACCAAAAAACAATTTTCTTGAGAAACTAGGTCTTTCATTTTGAGGAAGACAATTTTTTAAAATGACGCTTTCACTAGAATGCTGTCTGCTGTTGGAAAGCAATCGACCATTCCTATATCACAAATATACATTAAGATGCAATCTCCACAAACAGGAATCTTTGTTTTTTCCCCTGGTATATTCTAAAACTCTAAATAGTGGTAGAAATAGAGAAAAAGCTGAAAAAATTGTTAAATGTTGGGTAATATTGGATGAGCTGCCAAATGAGAACTGAACCATATCTTTTAGTGTAACACAAGAATCTCATTGCTAATTCACAAGTGAGTCCTTTCTACTCCCAGGAAATAGGTGAAAATATTACACTTGGACATGATATTTTGCATCAAATAATTAAAAAAAAAATAAGTTACTAAAGAATTACATTCAGTACTTTTTTCTCTTTGTTTATTGTAATTATAATTTCTGTTGAGAGATTAAGAGTGGCAGTCACTAGATTACCACACATTACCTACTGTGAGGTGCTGAGGAAAGAGCTACTCATGCAAATAAGTATTCCTGCTTTTGAACACTAACAATCTTAGGTGGAGATGAAACAAACATGATAAAGACATCATAAAAGAGAGAGAATAATAAGGGAGGGCACTCTAGTCATGTGACCTCTCTGGGCCTTAGTTTCCCCATTCGTACAATTAAAGGGGTTGACAGGTCAATATCTAAGCATCTCTCTAGCTCCTCTCTAGAGGTCTGATTCAAATATAGTAAACCAGTCTCCTGGTGGATACCAGAACAATGTCTAAGATTTGAAAAGGTCAAACAGGTTTAGCAAAATACATCATTTTATGTGGTTCCTCTGGTTTCCGCCCAGTTTATAATCAGGTCGACGACAGAAGTAGGGTATAGGTGGGAGAAAAGGCTTACGTGTAAATCCATTCTTATCATCAAAGAGTGATTATCCTTAAGTTCTTACTTTCCTTCATGGAAATCCATTAACTACCTAACCAGAGTCATCCAATTCTCAAGGCTATCGCCAAACCAAAAAACACATGTAAAAGCATAAAAATGTATATTTTACTTGCAAACTGTGTGTGTGCATGCACGGAGGCAGGTAGGTGTGACTGTGTGTGGTTTCTCTGTTTCAACGAGTTGAAAGCATTCTTTTTGTCTCTAAATTCACCAGAGGAAGATCGACCATTTGTTTTTTATAAAACATTCTGATTCTTAAAAGTAGGTATGATATTTACAATGTATTCTTTAGAAAAAAAAAATCCATGATCACAAAATGATCTTTCCTGAGTTTGATGCCTTGTTTTTTCTCTTGTCTGCTTCCTCGGTCAAAGCTGCAACCGTAGGCATCATTCAAGGGGAAAAATCCCTTTCATTCCACAATAAAGTACACCAGTTCCAGGACAGGCAATACCTTGAAGTTCCTGACTTCACCTTCCAAGACTGAAGATTCTAATAACCACCTTTACCCCCTTATCCCACTCTCCACTGCAAATTTCCTTGCCAATATTTGAAAGTTGATGGTGACGAGAAAAGGCTGTCTCTTTGCCCTTTGGTGGCAATTGAGAGAGTCCATCACCTATCTACCCATGAGTATTTGGTGTCAAGTCAGGTGTTGGCCATTTGGACCAGAAACAAAGAAAAGGGGAGGGGAAGGAGGGAACTGATGATCACTGTGAATCTGCCATGTGTCAGGCGTATGTTACCTCATGGAATCCCTAAGTCACCCTACAAAATAGTTTCACCATTGTCTTATAGATGGGAAAACAAAGGTCCAGAAAAGTGAAATGGCTTGTTCAAGGTCATTTTGGCAGAACCTCATGGAGACTACAGACATTGCTTGCAACTTTGTGATCATTTTAGAATAGTTTTGAGAATATGTCTTTGGGCTCAGAATGTCTTTCTATAATCATTAAATTGCACCTATAGGCTACCTTGGCCATAATAAAATTAACAGGCAAAGATTTATCTCACATGTATACACGTGTATAGAGCCTTCAAAAAGATTATGTATTAAATCCTTAAAACATCATATGATTACTTTTTTTAAAATAATAATTTTACAAAGGATCAAAGAGGTTAAAAAATTTCCGAAGGTTCTTTCTCTCAACTGCAACGCTCTTGCTCCTTTGCTCCAGGAAACATCTTAACATAAAATTGTTCCTCCAAGTCGTGGCACTAGACTGAACCTTCTGGGTTTCTGAAGTCACTCTGAGACAGTCTGCCCAAGTGAGAGCAGGTTCAGATTTGTTTAGAGCTCTCCATAAGAGCTGGGGGTCCAGGCCACGTCTCTCCATTTCGAGGAGTCTTAAGAGTCCAGCTCTGTCCCTGTTACCCATCTATGCTCTTTTGCTCACCAAACATGTGCTTTAAAATTGGATCTAGGTGGCAAAAAGGAACTCATAACTTTGTCAGAGTTTTGATTTAGTGTCGAATCACTCGGCCAGAACCTGAGGAAGCATGATAGGGACCAGTCAGACAGTAATAATATAGAGAATGCCCACAGAGAAGCATGCACTCATTGTGAGCTGCAGCAGGGGGCAGTGAGATGCTAGCAAATATGCAATATTCAACTAGGGAAGAACAAGTCATTTCCCCTTATCTAATTGGACAGAATAACTAAATAAGCAATTACGTGCAAATGCAATTTCTGAGTCTTTCTCTTAGTATTCCAGGGAAACCAGAGATTCCAAACTTCCACCAACCGGCAGCACTTTTAGAAAGAAAAAACTTGAAAAAAATCAGACACAGATTAGATTTGGCAAAATACAATCAAAAACACCCCTCTACCCAGATCCTATCCCAACATGCAGTTAAACGAAGTCCTTAAATTTAAGTTCACAGGAAAGCAAGGGAAATTTAGTTTGGAGAAAGCCAGGGTTGACCATTGTGGGCAAATGAAAGTACAATGTGTGCAACCCAATTACCCACAGGCTACTGACTACACCCAGACTTCTTAAACTATCTTAAAAAGTTTAAGTTTAAGATAGTTTAAGAAGTTTGGGTGCAATTAGTGGCACGAGCTGAGGGAAAGAAAAGATTAATAATTTTAGAAAAGGTACACTGGATACATCCAATGGTGGAGGAAGAGGGTCTAGGCCTGTCACACCAAAAGCACCTTAGGAAATCAAGTCGGCTCTCTATGACCTGCAGGCATGTATTGTACGTGATCATTGCTGACTCCTGCCCCTCCTAGTGATTGATAAAGCCATTCAAAGGATGGGAATGAAGTCATGTATGGACACAATCCATTTCCTTTTATTTACTTTACCAGGCTTACCTAATTTGAGGCCTAGCAGGAGGGCTTCTTAACCCAGACACCTACATAGTAGTCTCCTAAGGCAGGAAAGTATTCATGTAAATGCAGAGAAACTGGCTGTCTCACAGAAGCCTACTGTCCCAGAGACACAGGGTAAATTTACAACTGTTTTTCTTTCATGTATTGCAAATTCTCCAAATTTTACTTAGGCATTTCATATTCTTTTTTTTTTTTTTTTTTTTTTTAACTTGTATCACAAAGGCTTTATTTACAGGTCCATCTCAATTTACATGTGGCGGCATAAAATAAAGGACCAGATTGTGACACACCATTTCCATCTCAAGTAGTCGAATCCAACATCCAAAACCCAGCAAGCAGCCAAACTCCGCGCAACCTCCGGGCCTCTCGCTCGGACTCCAACAGGGTCAGCACGTCGCCTTCGTGCACGGGGCCGTTTGCGTTGCAGATGATGGAGCGGCTCGTGTCGCCCGTAAATTCCATGCGCACCTGCGTGCACTGTCCCTGAGAACCGGTCCTGCCCAGGACTTTGGCGTCCCTGGCCAACTTGATACGCGGCACACGGCTGGTATCCATGATGACGGCTAGGCAGGGGTCTGGCGGACGGCATTTCATATTCTTAATTGCAAAAGCCTTTTCAAAAGCAAGTAAAAAGTAGCTTTTGGACAATTGGATTGTAATTGCTTCCCTCTATTAGCATAAGTAATCAGCTAATATAGGGAAAAACAAGGGCAGGACTTGTCAGCTCTCTTCTGCTGCCTCTGCTAGTATGACAGGGGTCCTGTGTCCCTGAAGGACTCGAGATGAGAGTCTCATAGTCCTCTACCCAAAACAGAGCAGGGACTGATGAGGTCTATGAACCAGTAGTGGCCAGTGCCCTTGTTGGAAGAAGCTGTCTAAATGCCGCAGGTAAAATCAATGCAACATTCAAAAAGTCAGGTTTTATTAAGAGCTAGTTAACCCTGTACGAATATGCAAACCTGTACTTTATGTCAATACTCTGATGAAATGATAACCTTTTTGCTAAGTAGATTTACTGCCAAATGGACAGAGATTTGTGAATGTCTTTCTCATACCAGATTTTTTCTTCGAAAAGAGTCTTGGATCAGCATCAGAAGGAGTGTTGGTATGGGCTTTCGGCCAACAGAAGAAATATTTTTATTACATAGAACTGGCTGCTAGAATCATATTTGTGTGACTCTAACTGTAAAATAGGTTGAAAATATAGGTTAAAAATGGGCACATGTTACTACATAACAAACAAGAATACTATTAATGACCATGCTATTCACTAATCTAACTCTTTACTGTACTTATTATTATAGACCCTAATTATATATATCTCACAGTTTATGATAAGTGCTATAGTTTGAATCACACTGTTAAAGTAATCCTTATTTAGGAATTGGACCACACGACTGCCGTATTTTCTCATCTAGATTGTAAACTCCTTAGGTCAGAAATCATGTTTGCTATGCTTTTGCACTTTGTGGTGCCTGGCAGTGAATGGGAAACAGAAGGGTTCTCTATGTAAATATCTGTTGGTGGATATTTTAAAGCAACAGGGAGTACATTTGGATCCTGAGAGGGTTTTGACCCTCAAATCATAAAATGCTAGAATGCAGCATATCAGGAAACTGCAGGGTATACAGTCCATGGCCCTGGAGTCCTTTAGGAAGAGAACACACTATATCTGATCTAACATGGCCCACACCAGGGGTCAGTGACAATGGATTGGGCAATTGGGCCTTGTGGCCATTCCTCGGCTTAGATGTATTTCCCAGGAGTGACTTAAACATGCAACCAGATGCAAGGGGAAGGAGGATGCTCCTCCAGAGAGGAGAAAACAGTCAAAGACCCACATCCAAATGTGCATTGCCTATGAAACCATTCCTCCCCTCTCTCTCCTTCCTGCTTTCTCATCTCCTATCAGAAGGTACCTTGATGGCCTGATCCCTCTTCCCTTCCCAACCTACTATCTATAGGCTGCAAGTTTGGTGGTTTCTTTTTCTTTTCTTTTCTTTTTTTTTTTCAGGGTGTCTTAGAAATTCTTTTAAGTTTGATTTATGGTGGAAGAGTATCAGGGTGGGGTGGAGAGAGAAGAGAGGCAGAGTGAAACAGCACACAGGGTGTGCGGTCCTGGTCCGTCATCTGGGACAGGGCTGTAACCTGACATCTGCCCCCTGAAGCAATGACTGCTTGATTCACCCTCATCTTGACCTCTGACTAGGGCTGTGCTGAAGCCGATTGTTCATGGCTCTTCCCAACTCTCTTCAGTAAAACTGCCTTAATAATTGGAAATATGCTACAGTAGGAATATTTAAACTAAGGTGATGGCAAACACTACAAATCGGATATTTCCACGTGGAGAACAGGTTATTAAACATCTACCAGCATATCACAGCTTCCATCCCAGGAAGAGCTGCATGTCTAAGACTGACTTAGATATGATTTTTATTGGGAAGAACAAAGCTGTCTCTGAGAAAATATTAAGGAGAGCAAAACAGATTTACTCTCTCTCTTGCACACGAACCCCACCCCCATCCCAAATACACACTCTGCAGCAATGTCTGCTGATATTGCTTCAGGTGTGACCTAGTCTTAAGTCCTATCCTTCAAAATGGGCTCTAAAAAAGCAAGTATAGAGACCCCTGGGAGGAGTAGGGTCAACCCACTCGAGGACCCTCCTTTCCTCCTGACCACTTCCCTACTTCCCCACTCAAGCATCTGCACACAGGGGCCAGTGACCTGGGAGATCCCTAAGCATACCCTGCCCACAAGTGACTGGATTCCCTCACACTGCGGTGGCCCCTTGAAGAAGCATGGGTCATTGTGCCACAGTAATTAAGAGCCGGGTCTTGATTCACTGAGCCCCAATTCGAATATCAACGAACAAGCTGTGTGTCCCAGGGCAAGTTACTTAACTTCTCTGTGCCTCATGCATAAATGAAGATAATGATAGTAGCTGTCTGTTGGGATTGTTGTGAAGATTGAATGAGAAAACCTATAGAAAGATAGCACCTAGCAATAATCCCAGCCATCCTTAAGCATATTACTTTGGGGGCTTCTGCACTTCTTGGTCATTAGAACAAACATGGTTAGCCCATGCAAGCTGCTTTAAGTGTGGAGAACTTATGAGAGACCCAGGGAAAAAAAATCAAACAGAATATCAACAGTTGCATCACAAAAAGGCAAATATAATTTTGAACAACAGTTTGTAAAATAACTTTCTCTTTGATAATAATAAACTTGTTAACTGACATGTTTCTAAAATACTCTAGGTCCTTGGAAGAGAGGACCAGAATCATGAACATATTAGTTTAAAATTCTAAAGGTATGTATAATAATTTTTCAGAGTCATAGGAGAGAATGTGAGTGGCATGAGAAATCTTCAAGTCATTTTGTGCACTGTGCAAGTCCACCAGAGACTTTAACCCATCATCAACCATAGGCACGAGCCAAACATCCATTAGAGTCAAATGAGAAGACACTGAGCTTTAGATTCTGTGCACTGGCTGACTGTGAAGATGATGACCTCTGAGGTGGCCGTACAGACGACTTGGGGAAGAGAACAGTCCCAGGCTGCCTTTCATTACAGATGTGGAGCTGCTTACTTGGCTTACAAAATAGGAAAACGAATCAGTTGTTTGCTGGTTGAATTGCAAATATTAATCTGGTCAGTTTGGGGCATCCAGGCCTAAAACATGGATGTCATGCAGGGCTAGTTCTTAAAATAAAAACAGAGGCAATCAATAGAAGTTTATTTTTGATGGGGAGCCTTAGTGCAGCCCTCTCCCTAGATGAGACAGGTTTCCCAGCCTGCTGCTATATTCTGGCTTTGCAGGGCTCATTACAGACCTTACCAAAATCCACTACCTCCTTCTCCTGGGTATTACCTGCTATTCAGCTCAGAGTCTTTAGAGTTGATTTGAAATATATATATATACACACACACATATATATATGTATACATACGGATATATCTACATATATATCCATATATATAAATATACATATATATAAATATAAATAAATAAATAAATAAATATAGAAGCTTTAGTGCTAGGACTATTTTAAAGTATTTCTTCTAGTATCTGCATTTTCAAAAAGGAATCCCAGTGACTCCTGACCTAACTCAAAGGGATGCCCTGCTAATGGTGGTTATTTCAGGCTGTGAACTGGTCTGGTGGAAAAGGTTCCCCTAGAATTACACCAGAACAGATCCCTAGACAATTTCCTACTTCACTCATGTGCCTGGCATATAGCAGCATTCAATAAATGTTTCTTGAACTTAGCAGCCAAAACCACAAACTAAAGAGAATTTTTACACATGCATAGCATGGGAGGGTCGACTGAGTATGTGGCATTTTATCAGCCACACTCAGCACTTTGGAAGGACTCATACCTCTGAATCACTCAGAATCTGAATTTCTTATGCATGTATACACTGGCTGGCTGGTGTTCCTTGTCTTCATAAATATTAAACGTGATCACTAATGACTGAAGTTCTGATGTAGATATGCAGAGAGGTTGGGGTAGTGTCAATTTCTGCCTCTGTGGTTTCTTAGTCAAATGACTTTGGGCTTATCTTTGTGACTCACTTTTCTCATTCAAAATGATGAATCTATTAATACAACGTTCAAAAGACTATTGCAGGACCCAAGAATGAATATACCTAGTGTCATTTTGTAAATTTGCTGAGCACTACGTATATGGAAAATATTAATATAGGTAAGGGAAATATTCTATTTTTTTTATTTTTTATTTTTTATTTTATTTATTTATTTTTTATTGCATTTTAGGTTTTGGGGTACATGTGAAGAACATGCAAGAAATATTCGAATTTTTTATAGAAAGTTCTGCAAAAATGGGTTAAAAGAGGCGACTGCCGCAGTGATTTTGAATTGCGATATGTCCTGGGGATCTTTTCTGCACTGTGTAGCCTCTGGCTTAGGCTGTTTGTTTTTCTTTCCTTTTTCACAGAGTCTTCGGCCCATCCTACCAATCTAGCACATGAGCTTAATTCAGTTTTGCTGCATGCATCAGAGAGTTTTAAGACAGCTATTAAAACACCACATGGAAAAGCTTTGCAGGGAATTCTACTCCACAGAGAAACCACAGAACCATTACACACCTTAACTATCTCCCCACCCCCAACAGTGGGCTAAAATTACGGCTCCATTATGTTAGTACAATCCAACCAGTTTTATTGCTTGGAGCAAAATCTGAGGTTCAAAACGAACTTCAGAACATAAAAAGTAAGGCAAACCTCAAAAGGAAACGAGCTTCTTTGGGTTTTCAAACAAATATTACATATCAGAGACATTCTTCTAACAGAAGAGACTAAGAAAAGCCAAGAGGAGTCCTGCTAATTGCTCCAGAAATGTAAAACTGGAATCAGAGACTCACTCCCCCCAAAAGGAGATCTCTTTTCATCATCATATATTAAAAGCTACAACCTTTCATCAACTCCTTCCTCAAGCAGGAGACCCTCTTTGACCTTGCTTGACTTCCTTCAATGTTGCATCACTATCTTCCACATTAAAAAATAAGATATATTTTCAAGATTCAATGTT